TTGATACACACAGTCGAGGTTATCTCTCTTCGAGGAGATTTCATTGTTTCCACTTGCGTGCTGTTACAAACTGCGAATACTCTATTGTTGCGAGTTACGGTGTGCACGCCGCGGTTAACTTTTGCCCGCCTTGTAGCATTATTCGCCGTACGACGACGCGTCATCGTACGTGCGTGCACGTCCGTATGATAAATAATACGAAAAAAAAATGTTGTCCCTTTATTACCTTCTCTGTACTCTCTTGCTGCATAAATAATTTCGTTACGTGTGCCGCGTAACTCAAAGGCAAAGATAACTCGCTTCATTAATACGTTGAGCGCGGCGTCAATCCCTGGGGATTGATAGTAAACTTTTCGTGTCTGGTCAGTGTTTGTCCGTGGGACCAGCAGGATCAAGATTAAAATAAAAATAATTTTTTTTTTTTGTAATTTTGTAATTTTAATGGAGTTCTAAACAAAAATAAAATTTAGCTTTACACGTGTTACAAAAAGTAATATTTCGTGTCTTTAGAGAACTGAGTAGCTTTTTTAATGGTATACTTTTGCATTGACTGCGCCATTTCTAAAGAAAAAGTGAAACAATGTCGTCACAGCGATATCTAGTCTGTTTATACCCTCTAATCCAATACTCGTGTGATCGAGTGATAGCGCAGCAAAATCAGCTCCGCGCTTAACGTGTTAAACATTTCCGTTGGATTTCAAGAAGTTTCTCTCGGCGTTTCGTAGAATCGCTGAAAACTCGTTTTATGCAGAGAAATGCAGTTGCATCGTCGCAACTTTTTGGATTTCATCCTCGAGATCGCTCCTCACAGACACAGTTGAGAGTCAAAGACAATCGATCGCAACGGCTATCCGGAGCCTCTTGTTTTCGCGCGTTACTTCAGAACGCGGCGTACACCGTTGACCCGAATTCATTTTTAAGCGCTCGACAGAGTAGAACGAGTGCACGCGCTTTTCACCCCTCGGTTTTCGCAGGGAGGGAGGCTTCCCTCTCGCGACTAAAGGCCAGAACTCTATCACCACGACAACCGAGTAATCGGTGAACCGTGAGGCCGAACTACACTCTAGCGCGTCGCCGATCCACCACAAAGATGAATAGGATAAAAGAGCGCGAAAAGAGAAAAAAAAAAAAAATTGATAGAGAGAGGGACGATATCCTACGACCGAGTCAGTTCGTTAGCGATTATATTTATATTTAGATCGACTCCTCACAGCTTCCGACTCTCCGAACGTGTATTTTTTTTTCTTTTTTTTTTTTTTTTCTTTTTTTGGAGGGGCGCTACGAGCAAACACGGGCCTTGCATGAACGTTTTGAATTCGTTACAAAATCATGTTCGTGCGGTTTTCTTTTTTTTTTAAAGGGAGCGAATTTAAATAATTTACAGCGTTGTTCCACCTTTCGTTTCTCTTCCGTGAAATTTTCTGCAGTTTGCTGAAACTGCCTGACAATGGTAAATTTCGATAAGACGATTGAATCGTTTGTCCTGAAATTTGGGTTAAATACTTTCTAAATGCTGTAAGAAATTAGATCTCTTTTAAACGGAACGTACAAGAACAATTCAGAATTTCTGTCTGGAGACTTGTATTCAAATTTTCGAATTGAAGTCGAACTTTTTTTTCGTCGAATCTTCTTCTCTCGTGTAATAAAACCCACGCGATCCACCTGCATAAATTCTTTTTCTATTCTCGCGCGAACGAAAACCAAATTCTTGATTAATAATCCAATTACTCCAGACAATACGTAAAGCTACATATTCTGCATATTCATAAAGCGCCAAGCTCTTTCCTCGCACCTACGATTTCAAAAAAAAGACTGTCCACCCACGAACTGCCACATTTTTTTGTTTTTCCACGCACGTCGCCAGTCGTGAATCCAGTCGAATCTCCTTCAAAAGAGAACGCACCAAAGGTTAAACGCAGGCTGCATTTTAACGCGAAATAAGCGTCGGGTATTGAGACGTTCTCGTAGCAAGAGAGAGAGAGCGCTATTATTCTTCGTTGTGTCTATTTAACCCTATACAGTCGCTTCATATAGAGAGCGACCCTGGTGTTGTATTTGACTCTCATTCAGCGTTTATCGAACATTATTCCCGCATTACAGAAATCTCCGGTCTAAAAATATAGACGCGTTTGTTCCTTACTCCGGACACACAACGCGTCTTTGACCCGTATCTCGGCTGCCTCGAGTCCTAAACTCCACGCAGAACGTTTTTGTTCGAACTGGATCGACGTAAGGTATTTTCCGAAAAATGATCGATCGTGAAAGCGAGGAAAGCGGAGATATTATAAGTACGATACAAATTTGGCTCGATTTAATACCGAATCACGGTTGTGTTCGAGTCCGTTTTCATTTGTCAGTGACCTGGCCGCAAGTTTCCTTTTCAAAACGCCGTCTTCATGGTCTTACCTTTGATGTTATATTAAATTGTAAATTTACGCCAATCTTATCGCAACGCCGGTAAGATAATAAGCCGAGGAATTTTATACATGTAACATATACGTAAATGACAATAATTATAAAGTAATTAATATATATAAAAACAAACATATAAAAATATTATATAAAATATAAAATTATAATATAAAAAATAATATATCGTATAAATATAAAACAATAATTATATAATAATAATTATAAAATACTTCTCCTTCCATCGTGTATACATGGATCGATATACATATACGAAGTGAATAGAAACTGCTGGTTAGAGAGACACGAAAGTTTCACGTGGGCAAGTTAAGAGTACAGACACGTAACTATTATTTGAAAGAAAACTAGTTTTCATCGGTGAAGTGAATCGTGATTTTATACGAACAACAGAACTTTACTCGTTCCATGAAAATTCAATTAATTCTAGTCACCCGAACATAAGCTACTATATTAACAAACTTTATAACCCCCCCCCCCCCGCTTCCTTCCTTTTCTTTACTCTTTCTTTTTTCTTTGCTCTTCCCACCCTGCTCGACTTCTTTTCCATTTTTCTCTCCTCCCTCATATTCATTTTTCCCCTTCTTTTCCGCCATCTATCTATCTTTCTTTCATCCCTTCCTCCCTCACATTTCCACTTTTCTCAATTTCTTCTCAGAGATACGCTCAAGCAAGCTTTGAATACATACGCGCATCGATTTAATCGGCAAGTTTCACACTCGAAAAAAAGCGGCGCCCAAGGTTTACAACGGCAGTAGAGCAGAACGAATGGGAACTGAGGGTTGATCGGTTCCTCCACCGAATCGTCGAGTTCGTCGCGAACGGAAAGCGATCAAGCTTTTTTCTATTAAAAGGTGACTCTGAGGAGGAATGTGTTCTTCTAGCCCTGGTCCTACAACCTGGCTCAATAAATGTACAAACCAAAATATGTCGCTGGAGAAAGATCAGTCCCATAAAGTAATTTTAAAAGCAATTACTAGTACACTGCTAAAGTACAATTGGTAATTGAGAAAATTACTTTATGGGAGTGATTTGGCCGAAAATGACTTATCTTCCCAATCATGTGATAGAGAGTTGGCCTTATATAAGGTCCCGCTAGACAATAGTACGCGGAGTAATAGTATGCATAGTAGTACACGGTATATACAGCAGTAAACACTAGTAAGTAAGATGTTACGATAGCGAAGATGGTTAGTCCGGTTCAATTAGCGAGCGTATTCCTGCACCCTTGTACGAACGAACACTCTCACCGCCTATTCCCAAAGTGACTATGTATAGTCACCCGCTGTCTGACGCTTGCTGGATATTATCGGTGACTGTGTTCACCCAACGATTGACGTTCTAATGACTATAGTCTACTGGTGATTTTAGTCACTCGATTGTAAAGAAAGGAGGATAATAATAAAATTCACAAAGAATCCTCGGATCCTCTAGGAACTACAAGATCCCTAGAAAGGATAAGAGTACTATCTCTGAAGACTATAAATGATACTCGCAAAAGAACATACCGCTGTATGAATTATCGATTTTGATGAAATTTCGATGGCATAAATGTAACTTTTAAAAAATGAAATATTTGATCCGTATTTTTTTTTATTGGCAATGGTCGATGTTGAGGGGGTGAATACTCAACATTGGGGCTGCGGGACATATTTTGTCAAATATCCCGGAAATTATTGAAGATACTGTTTTTTGTGTAAATTGATGAAATTTTTTTAACGACGAATTTAATGACGTATACCATTTTGCAAAAAAATTTTGTTGCTACTGTTCAAACAATACCATCAAAAAACGCACGTCGAGTTCTACAAGTATAATCGTATATTCTTCGTGGCGGGATAATAAAATTTTGCATTTATTCTTAACTTTGGTAGGTTAAATGTCAACGTTAGGATCGGCTTCGTACCGACAGCAGGATCACCGTAGCGAAAAGTTTAAGCGACCGCTGGCAACTGTTTGCGGACCATAACGAGTGACCAAATCCTATACAAATAACTCGTCGCTTTCTTTTTCTTTTGAACTCGTCGGTATAATGTCACTGGACAGAAATTATTAAGAAGTAAATAAATTTATTATTTGTTTTGCCTGGATTGTACTCAGACATACTTAAAACTGAGAAAATGTTGCAATTTGGGACGAAAAATTCTCGTCATTTCGGCGCAAGAGGTTAAAGAACGTCACGCGCCATAATCGACGAGGGGCCAAGCGTCGAACGCTGTGGGGCGCAATTAAACGCCACGTAGCGTAACGCGTGCCGATATCGCGACCAATGGGGGTAGCCAAAGTCGAAACGACGTCCCGTAGTAACCTAGTCCGAAACGTTCTACAACGAATTCTCTCGTTGCCGAAATTTACGAAGCGAAACGTACAAAGATCGGGCGGGACACGCGGGCCCATGCATCGCGCGCCACATCCATTACGATGCATGCGTATTTGTGTGTGTTCCACCACCGACTCGCCGCGTACGCGCGTCACATACATTTGAATAACATCGCATCGATACCGAATGTATCGGCCGAAGCCAAACTGTACGCGACGGACAGTCAATCCGCGTGATTTACGTTTATCTTTACTTATCGCTTCATCGCTGGCCCGTTGCTCCTCGTCTCGAAACTGACAAGCGAGCGCGTCGCTGCGCTCACTTTCCAACCCTCTGCGCTGACCAGTTTAATTTTCGTTTGTTCGTGCGTACCTGCAAACACAATGAGAATGAACGAATTATTAGACAAGAGTCAAGAAAGTAAATAGTTGGATGGTACACATTGAGAGAGAAATAATTATAATTGCAAGTGTCGGCGCAAGAATGTATCTAACATTTCTGAATGTGTGAGTGTTGCCATCATTTAAACCAGAGGTGGCGAACTGGTGGCCCTTACCCCCACTTTCCTGATCACTAGCGCTATCCCCTCCACTGCCAATTGTCGCAGCCACAATACTCGCTTACTGAACACAATGGAGGTAGGGTTCGTGAAGGATAAAATCATCGAGCTAGGGAAAGCAACTTTATAATTTCTAATTTTTCGATGGCAGGGATCTCCCGTGACCATATTTCATGTCCTTCGTTACCTTGCATCTTCTATTGTAGTCATACCGGACTACCAATTCCAAGACTCGGTAAGTTTCTTCATTGCAATGGTCCCTATCGCACATGAACTCGAAAAAGAGATGAGAAAAATAAATTCATCGAGCCAAGAATAAAACTTTCAGATTCACTATTTTCTCCACGGCAGCGATTTCCCTTGACCGTACTTCATGTTTTTTTTTTTTCTTACTTTTTATTTCATTGTTGTAGTCATGCCTGACTCTCAATTCTAAGGTTCGGTAAATCTCTATCGCAACTTTTCTACGATATCCATAAATCCAAGACATATTGCGAGGGACACATCCTGGAACCATTAGAAAGTGCAAAATACTACTTTCTGGGACCGACCTCGCTCACATCTGGAAGTAACTAGCATACCCTCCCTAAACCCATAACCATAGAATCCACAGCTGTATAAGACGCAGGAAAATAGACAGTTCCCGAACCAAAACCTTCAGATTCAACCCGTATCAAGGAACCTGCAGGTTATTTGAAACTTTTCCTGCAAGCCTCATGATGCAAACAAACCACACAAATATCCACAAACTAATAATATCAATCTTCATGCAGGTTAAAGGACACTCCAAGCCCAAGGTACTGCAGACAAGACATCCTGACTAATTAAATTTAAAAAAAGAAAAAAGAAAAAAATAGACAGTTAAAGTTTTTTGGCAATCGTGCAGTGCGCACAGAAGTTGCAGAGCAAACCATCGACGTAACGACAATCTACGTTCCTCAATTATCCAATACAAGTTTGCCAGATTATCAACATCGTACAATCAAATCGCACATCTGACGAGTGTATTAGCTATCATACTAATCCAACCCCTTGAACTTTCATTAACGTTGAAAGACAGCCACCGATCTGCTCAACGCTCCTTATACGTCGAGGTTAGATCGGCACACAACACTCGCATTAGGTATATATGTATACATACGAATTGTTTTCTTTACTAACTGCTAAAGAAAGAATAGTTTGTATTGTTTTCAAGATTGACCACACAATCCTTCGATCTCTAACTTAGTTCACATATTGCAGAACTTTCAAAGTCCTAGAGTTTTTGAACACTTTACTGAACTTTCTACGATGAGTCAGAATCCAACCGAGTAATCGTGAAATCCCGCGAAACACGATCTGTATTGATGCAATCACGCGCGCGTGCAAGTACGAACATGATCGATGACGTCTGTCTGAAGATCGATTACAAGTCATAATCGCAATTATCCAGTGGTTCACGCGGCCACGATCGTCCCGAATTGATTCCCACTGCACCGCATAGGAAACGGCGAGCCACCGATTCAATCGGCACGCAAGGCGATTCATCGCGCTAAATTAATTTTCGAGCGTTGATCTGGTTGTCGTTGAGATGCCCGATCGTGATCGATCGCAACGTCTCGATCAATCTTCACGTTCGTGTTTTTCACGATTATTATTACACTCGGTCGAAAATCGAATTTTACAGCGCCGAATGACTTCGACCAGCTCCACAAATCAGACCCGACGTCTAGATTCTGAAATATTATAATCCAAATTCAGTCTAATCTCAACTTTCCCCTACGTTCCCGCGATCTCGGTGTTGCAATTTACTGTTCCGCAGAGCCCGCCGGCTTCGCCGTAACTCCCGAAATAAAAGTAACTTTCCGAACTAAAAGTTTCCAAAACTCGAACACCGCTTGTAGCAGTTGTATCAGTCTGGCGGTATCAGACAGCGTAGAATTTCGCAAAAAAAAAAAAAAAAAGAAAAAAGAAAAAAGAAAAAAGAAAAAAATATTGACGAAAGCGAGAAGTTCAGTCCCTGATTTTCACGCGTGAAACTCGCAACGTGCACACGGTGCTCTCGAGAACCGCGAAATATCCGCGGTAGAGTCGTCGGTCTCGGCGGCACGATGAATATCACACACGAAGATCGACAATACGCAAACAAGCAGATGTAACGACGCCTGATTATACACGCCTCGGTATCCTCGGTATCGTGTTCCGAGAGGCTTTATCGATGCTTATTTAAATAAAACCGATAACAGCTGCTAATGTCCCACACGGAGTGGGACGTCGCACCACCACCACGAAACGAACGACGACGAAACGCCGTGGCTTGGCAGAGTCCCGTGCATCTCTGATTACTCATTACGCGATCGGGAGAAAGTTTACATACGTATGTATCGTCTCTCCGCTTAATCAACCGGTGTACACGCGGTTGCGCGTCATTTTTCCTATCGGCCGGCAATCTCAGCGACGCTCTCCGCGTATCAGCCGAGCTAGTAATTGCGATTACTTCCTCGATAGTCGGTCGAAATTAATTTTCACGCGGCCCGGCGCCGGAGGTTTATCAAACGCGCGTTTCCATCGACACGCGAGGATCCGCATACACAGTAATTAATCTTAATGCTAGGCGTGGCGAGCGCCGGTTGTATCGTTGATACGAATTGCGCCGGCTGATCGAAATCGATTTACGGAGAACCGCGTCGAGAGTTCGCACGTGCATCATATGTACATATACGTGCGTCTTGTATGTACGTACGTACATACAGACGTGGATACGAGGGTCACGCGTGCTAATCTCTGTTATATCGCGATAGAGATCTCGCAGTGACGATCAACGCTGGTTAACCACTGTCGCTTTTGCGACGGACTCTTTTTCCCCTCTTTCTTTTATTCGTCAGTTTTATATGGAATTACCCGAAGAATATTTATAGAGTGGAGAAAATCACACGTAAAAATGTCTCGTTGTATATATATCTTATTATGAATTTTGTCTTGACACCGCAATTACCAAAATTAGAAACCACACACCAGTTATTAGAAATTTTACAGATATGAAACAATGTATTTTTCGAAATTTAAATGACCCTCCGTAAAATATACAAAGAGAAGTTGGTGCAATTTATCGTATTACAAAGACTTTCCAATTTTTTTTACTTTGATATCTCTGATGGAAATTTTACGCTTTCTCGTCGGTGGTTCAAGTGGCCGTGAACGAATACATATTCTTTCAATCAACAAATTTCTAACATTCTTCAAGATTTTCGCATCTCCTTTTTTGAAAAACATACTTCTTCGATTTGCGTCATATGTATTCTCTGACGTTCCGTATTAGATACAAGCAATCGTAATAAGAGCAACAGTGTCTTGAAATATCAGAAACTCGGCGTACAAACAGCAATGCAAATGAGAGAATGTCAGGATGTTCCCTACTGACAGCCAGGTGATTATTTTCACTCGGGAAACAAGAAGTATAGGAATAATATGTGGAAACGGTAGCAATAAAAAGTCCCGCTTTCGAGTGGGACGATGATCGATCGATACTTGTCTCCTTAACATGCTGCTAAACAGACAGAGTCCGGGGCACTACCCAACGAAACCGATAAGATCGGTTTCTTTCGTAAATGCCGGTTTATTTCTACTTCGGAGAAAGAAACCGTGTCGAGATGGCAGTCGGATAAAGAGAAACACTGTAACCAAATACTAGATCTAATTACATTTTGTAATGTACAAACGTTGTGCAAAACGGCCCAACATTTCACGTCATTCGACATCTAATAATTATAATCTATCGACATATCATAAACGTGTGTACGCCGCTCGATTAAATCGGCTTTTCCGTTCTGCGCCAGTTCTGCGCAACGTGACGGAGATGAAATCGAACCGAAATCGTTTTTTCTTTAAACGGCGAAACTATCAGTACCTCTATCAAAGTAACGGAATTTCAAATTTTTATTTTGACCGATAGTTCGTTGACTTTTGCCAAGAGTTTATTATACACTTTTTACTCTCGTTCTTTCGGATATACCCAAAGAATATTTCTCAATTACTTTCACGAAAGTGGGCACGTACAGGATCGTAAATTTCAAGTTAAATTTTAATGAATAAAATTCATAACGTCTCGTGTAATGAAACATTAATAAAATAAAAGTCTCTTCATTTAATAAATTACCATTTAACTTAATAGAAAAAATAATCATTCAACAAGTGAAATATAAATCTTATTTATAACGTCTTATGTAATATAACACAAATAAAATATAAGTCCTGTGATATAAGTCTCTTCATTTAATAAATAAAATTTATAAAATTAATCCGTTTTTGAATGATTTAATCACCTATTTCTATACTTTTATTTCCATCTGTTCTCCGATAACACACAGTATATAATACACAGTAGATAAAATTAATCAGTTTTTGAATAATTTAATTACCTATTTCACCTATCACCTATCTATTCACAGTATATCTATAACAGTATACATATTACAAGTTAGTAAAAATTCTAGCGTCAAAGCAGCAAGAAAATTTAGTTTATTTAACATTCCTAAAGAAATCGAAAGCCGATGCTTTCCCTAGGGATAGATCCTCTAGATAGATCCTCTAGCAAACTCTCAACAATCGCGTAATGAAATGGCAGGCTAAGCGAAGTCGCCCCCTCGTCGGCCGCGTAACGATCGTTCGAAAACTTTGCATAAGCTCGACGATCCGCCAGAATTGCCGTGCAGAGAAGTAGCACAGCGTAGTTATCGATCCAGCCAAGATTTAGGCTGGAAAACACGGCAACGCCACGGAAATGAAACTGTCCATTATCCCAACGGCG